CTCTTCAGAAATGACTGAGATCTCCGAACTAGCTGCTAGTCATAGACTCACCGACAGCCACATGCGTTTACTTGTAGCCACGCGAGAAGGATACCAACCGTTACTTGAGGAGAAAACTGAATTCCCAGTCTCACCTAATTCATGCACAGCACAAGAAAAGAAACCTCGTAGTCCAACACGACACCTTCAGCCTCCAGCAGTTCCTCCAAGACGTAGTCCCCAGCTAGACCTGACGTCATCAGGGTCGGACAGATTGGAGCTGAAACCCCAGACTACTCTCTCGGTGACTCTTCAGCGTCCGAGTTCGACAACACCAGGAAGTAAACACCAGAAAAAGTCTGTACACTCGAGTGGAAAGTACAACACCTTCAGCACAAGAGAAGGACTTCGAAGTGAGATCAATAACAGGCGCAGCTATGTGGATTTGAACCAGCATACTGCATTCAGTGAGCAGGAAGAAGGTAAAAGGAGGCAGAATTCCTTTGTTGCTTCTCCTTCTTCTGGAGCTCAGGGCACTGGAGTAACAAGCCCAGCTCGCGATCATCCAAATAACCTTCGCCCTTCTTCAACTGTTTCCGATCGCTTCCTGGATGTGGTCACTATGGGCGGCTGTGAAGCAGGTAACGGAGCTGCAGCCACTGAACAGGATGAGCATCTAGTTGTAGCATCCTTAATGTCCCCGAGCAAACAATCCAGAGCAGGAGGTTCTGAACATGGTTCAGATACACAAAGTGACCAACAGCCAATTTCAAGACAACAGAGCGTGGCACGGTTGTGTGAGTACCACCTGGCAAAAAGGATTTCAAATTTGCAAGGAGAAGGCCACAATTCATTGCAGGGCTCTCTGTGCTCATCACTTGATGCCGGTGGCAGCACAAACAGCAGTGCCTGTGCAACACCAACTGACTCTCCTCTTGCCCCTGGCACTGTTGAGTCCAAACAACATCGCTCACAAAAGCACCCACTTTCAAGTTCTTCTTCCTCCCTACTTAGAGTCCTAAACTATGAAGACAACAAAACTGGATTTCAGAACCAGATCACCCAAAACAAAGAACATTATCCGCATGCAGACCCCGCCCTCCTTCGTAAAATGCTGCCCAATATTCACCCCCCTTTAGCTGGGGGAGAAACAAGTCGACCCTCCTCAGCAACTCCATCCAAGCATAAGGAACTGACAGGCTCTGGAAGCAAGAAGCACCACAATGACATTAATCCTAAACAACAAGCCTGTTTTAAGGGGCTCAACCCAAAGGAAGGCAGTGAGGCCTACAGACAACTGATAAATTATCTTACAGTGAGCCAGATGCATCAGGGAGGGAAGTTACATAGTGCAGGTATGGGAGGGGCAGTTAAAAAAGACACCAGACGCTTTATCACAAGCAACCCTCAGCTCGTTGAAATGGTTAAGAATAGAGGGAATACCACTGCTCGCTGTCCATGTATGCCTTCGTCTGTGTCATCTCCATTTCTCAGTCCTAATTTGGTAGCTCCTCATTCAGCCCCAATGCAGTTGTCAAATAAAAATTCAAGGTCTTATCTTTCAGCAACACTTCCTGCCAAACTCAAACAAAGCCCTGATATGCAAGTTCAGAGGCTGAATGAAGGTTTAGATTTTAGAAGAGCTACCGCTGAAAGAAGGAGCTCGTTTTCTGGTCTAGAAAGTGACCTTGGCAGAGATGGTATGGATGCAGAGCAATTTCTCTCATACATTAAAAGACAAGACTGTATGAACCGTGATGGGGCTTTTAATCCAAGCCGAAATCGTGACTTTTTAGGCAACAGTAACCGCCCTCCACCTCGCTCAAGAAGTCAACCAAGTGGCAGCACAGAGGAAGGGTTCAGATTAGACTCGAGATTGAAACATGCATCTTTTCAATCTCCTCGACCAAATGACTCTTTTTGCTTCTCGACTGCTCCTATTTTGAGTGGTCATCGTGCAGACCTCAATTCCCTCTCACTAGGAAGGGGTGACCATCCATCAGCTTTCATCAGACAGTCATCTAATCGGACTAGAACTACCATTTCATCTCCAACACATAATCCACCTCCTCCACCACCACCTCTACCACCACCTCCTCCTTTATCTCTGCCATTACAAGCAAACTCCAGTGCTAGGAACTCAGGATGCCCTCAAGATTCCCTTCATCCTATACAGTTGCGGCAAAACCAGAACCACATTCAGGCTGTTGCACCAACCTTATCACAGACAGACCCTTTCAGCAATAGCATGCTACGAGGGAGAGAGCTCAAACGCAGCTCAAGCAATGTGACAGCAAGTTCTGGAAGTGCAGAGGCTTTATTTGATAAGCCCATTCGCAGTCGGAGCCAGCAACCCTTGTCAGCACCTATGTCTCATCAGAGTGACACCAAAGTCCAACATAGACAAGCAAGAAAACGTCTTTCAAAGAGCTACTCCCAAGGATCTGTGTCTTCACATGCAACTTGTTGGTCCTCAGGCAGTGGGGTCGACAGTAGAAGGGCATCTGTTGCATTTCCATTACAAAAAGACTCAAAGCATACGAAGGGCTCTCAAAAACTGGACACCAGTCCTTGGAGATGCAACGGCCCCTTCAGCTACTGTTTCTTTAAACGTAAAACTGAGGGAGAAGATGATGAAATTGAGTGGGAGAGGCCTAGAGGAAGCCGTATTGGGAGCAATATTGACAATAATGGTGCAGTTGCATCAACTATAACCCTCTATGGCTCAGCCATGGATGAACAGTTATATGGAGAGGTCCTCGACAACATGAGTTTTAGTGACCGTCTGGCAAGAATCAATGCTCTCAAGGACCGCATGTACAGCTTTCCTTCTGGCTTTAACGATGTTCGTCGAGATGCCAGTGAGCTCATTGCACTGGTGAGATCCAGTGTAGGTCGGTGCGACCGTGGTGCCCAGATGCCTATCCAAGATGTTTCCCAGTACAAGCAGCTCCTTTCTGTCGAGTCAAAAGAGTTAGGCCGGGCGTGCCGGAGAATGGCACAAGCCCATGGCAGTCCAGATGAAATGCTGCTAGCTGTTACATGTAGCTTTCAGGTGCTATGCTGTCTGTGTGAAGCTTGTATGTGTCTAGTTCGGGGACTTGGAGCCTCAGCATCACAGCAGCAAAGAGAAGTTGTAGCAAAAGTTGATGAGGTTGTTATGAACTATATTTGTTTGCTTAAAGCAGCCGAAGCTGCGACTGTAGGTGCCCCTGGGGAGCACAGCGTGAAAGCCCTGGTCCGCCACTCCAGTACCATGTCGGCTATTGCTAACGCACTCACCCGCTCCCTTAAAACGCTGCTAAGCAAGTAGAGGCTATTTCCAATGCTTTATAGTATGGCCTATGCAGTCAGTAGAAGTCTGTCTTTAGACATTTTACTGTTTCAAGTTCTCTGAAAGAGTCAGCTGTTTTCCTGTTGTGTCTAGGTGGTTTTTACATCTACAGATATATTTATTGCAATTAAAATTAACATTAAAATGACATATTATTGAAAATGCTTAAAAAGAGTAAATACTTTTACTGATGACATTATTATAATGTATATTTACAAAGCCATACTGCTACAAACCTTTGTAATAAATGTACCTAGTAGATGCTGTACCCTTTTACCTGTGCATTATGTAACTTATTTAAAGTGTATATAATGTACATCGATACTACATTAATATTATTTGAAGTAGCACTTTGGTGAAGCGTTCGGCTTACTTTAATATCTTGCAGAGATGAAGGAAAGACACTTTATGTTCAGTTAGTTTGTGTAAAGTTTTAATAGAAATAATATAATTATTTAAAAAAACTATTTTAGAGTTTTTGGTGAAATTTGGCACTGTCAAAACAACTCAGAAAAATACTGCATTAAATTGTTGCACTTTTGCTTGTCGAAAGACAAAAAATATGCTCTATATAATAATGACTTAGAGTATCATAGCATTGCTTTACTCTGTCATATTTTGTATTATATTTGAGCAAAACACAAACTGTGAAAGCATTTCCCACAAAACAAAACATTTAAAACCATACCAATGTAATTTTGGCAATTTTGTGCAAATATTCCAACATATCTGATTTGCTTTGAGCAAATATTACTTTTATTTTTTCAATGTATCTTTTTTTTTTTTTTGCTTTAAATCGTGGGTTTTTTTTCTGCTTAAGTGATATCTTTTTGCATACAAAAAATCAAGAAGAAATTAAATTAGTTTTTATTTTGTTTTTGCAATAATCCACCAAACTATTAAAATATGTTTTACAAGTATATGCCTTTCTGTGGATTGTTTTTCACTCTGATTTTTTTCAATGACTATTCATCCATATCGTTTTCCTAAAACGTTTCACTCGGTGAATATGGGAACTTTTTTTGACTTTGTACACATTTATATTACATTGCCAATTATGTATGCTGTTGCCTTTTTACACATTTTTATGTGTTCTGAGTTTAAAACAATGTTTTCAGCAACGCTTGTGATTTCCAATTCAAAAGGACTTAAAACGTTTGGTTGTTGTTGACAGCTTTTTTTTCCCTTAATAAATAAAATTGTTTGAAAACAACATTTCCATTTTCCAGGTTTTGCAAGCAAGTTCATTGTGAACCAACCAGAACATGCTAAAACATGTCATCAAAATCATAAAATGTAGTCATAGTACCAAAGATTGAGATGTTTGCTGAAACAAGGTGTACATGCAAGAAACCCTTCAAATATCTCAAAGATGGAAGTGAGGAGAAGCCAAGTCTCCTCAGGCTGATGTCAGAAAATAAATTAATTTCAGCTAAAATGGACTAAACAAGGTGTTTAGTCCACCTGAGCTGCTCCAGGTGTTTTTAGATTTTCGTTACTGTGCCAAACAAGGTAAATGTGTAAGTGCAATCACATCTTTTTTTAGAAATAAAAAAATGTATTGGGGAAAAAAAATTCCATGTGACTCTGGCTAAATAGAGAAGTATCATCACCATTTAGTGTAAAATTAAGTAATATACACTGTGCTCTTTTTACGTATAATGGTTCCTGCGTGGTTTACGTGACGCTCTCTCCACCAGCAGCAGCGTAGGTACGTCGGCGGGGTATCAGAGCCCAGTTCATTAGCATGTTAGGCGCGTCCTTTACGCACGTCAGCCAATCAGTTTGGAGCATGCAGAAACAAGCCACGCCCGCGCGGCAACTCGTGTCGCGCGCTTCTCAAAGCATTGTCCCGGTAGACAAAAAGTTTTAGACTTTTTCTTGTGTTGGGCTTTAGAAAGCTGACGGTGTGCGTGGATGTGTTCACCTGCGGTGCTATTAGGGTACCTTTAAAGCTCCTAAAGGAGTTGCTGATTGCATGGTTCTTTGCACCCCGGCTGCCAAAGCAGAGAAGTATTTATTGAGCGCCCCGTGGGGTTTAAAGTTCTGGCTATATTATTAGCAGGTAGTTAGCCGGTAAATAACATCGGTAACAATGTCGGCGGTGTGTCAGCAACGACGTGTCTTGATGGAGATACCTGCCCCACAACCTAAAATCGCAGGTAAGTCTGAATCAAAGCCAGAAAAGGTGTTTATTTGCATTTTAAATTTATCATTTTTATGCTACAAGTTCCCTTGCTACCATGCTAGCGTTGCCATGATGCTAATTAGAACTGTTTATTTACTCTTAACTTGAAATAGTTTCAGTTTTCTGCAGAAACAACAAATGCCTAATTATGAGCTGTTTTATTATTGTTATAATTTCAATTGTCCTCTGTTTTTTGCAGCTCGAATGAGGAGGTCTTACTTAGAAATCCTCGGAGCTCGTTTCGGCCCTGCACCACCATCAAGAGGCAGCAGAAACACAAACACAAAGCGAGCACACTCTTGTAAGTGCCTCCATTAAGCTACAATAACAGCAGCACCATCAAAACCCACAGAAATAACACATGCTCCAAGTTTTATAAGCAATTTTATGATACTTTGCTTTCTAAACAATTCCACTATACTTGCTTTCTTTTCTGGACAAGGATTAGGAGAAGTAATAAGTATTCTGTGCTCTTCAATCATTGTCTTGCAGTGGACCTGTCCTTCGGTGGCGTATGGGGAGAAAGAATCGAGAGCCAGTGTGAAAAGATGGACGATCATCCGACCCCACTCTCCAAACAGCAGCTTGTTCAGCTCATCAGATCACTCATCTTGGTTGAACAGGTAAGAGAGCTTTACAGTGTGTAGATATTGAGTATTTATAAAGTAAAAAAGAAAAAGTTATTTCATGAGATTTGGCCTAAAACTGCATTATCTTTAGAGCCATGAGCCCAAAATGATGGCAACAGACCTCAAGTGTCTCCAGGAAGACCTCCAGCTAAAGAAGACAAATGTTTACAGGTCCATCCCATACTCACGGTTTGGCTCCAACCGGGACGCTCACTGCTACAGAAAGGCGTATCCTCACCTGGTGGCATTCAAAGTATGTATAATAATAAGATGACAGTAAAACATGTATAACGAGGGGATTTAGTGGATGGCAGCTTTCTGCTTGGATGAATATATGATCCAGCTCAGTCCTGCACAATTCAACAGGAAAACAAATGTGTTTTTATATGTTTTTCTTAATCAAAGCTCCTTTTGAACCTGCAATTTTGTGTGTAATTAATGTAATTTATATATTTTAAAACTCCACAGGTCTCCTGGGTATTAACATCTGACTTGATTGCATCATTCCCCTCAGGTTTCATGTCAGGAGTGGGGCCAAGTTCTCCTGAGGAACAAAGAGTGGGATGCTGTGTTGGAGCACTCCCTCATGGCATGGCGATACACCAGCGATTTACCGCAGTGGGACACGGTCAGCCACAACGCGTTGAGAGAGCAGTGCTACGGCATCCTGGCTGCTCACAGTCTGGCTGCGCTCCAGCACTACCGCCCAGAGCCCAGCAGAGGACAGGAACTGCTCAGGAGGTAACGCAGGCTTTTAACACCACTTGAACTTGGGTGCAGACATGCATGCACTCTTCCTGTGTTATTAAATGGATTTTAAATACTTCACTGTTTTTTATTATTTCTAGGATATATCATGCAGTTTGTTCAAAGGAGACTTTCATAAGGGAAATGCGATAACTGTCACTAATCCTTCTGTTTCTAGGTTTAAGATGGCTCAGCTGCAAAGCCAGTTGATAGTCCCCTGCATTGAGGGACTGCAAAGGATTATGGGATACACAGAAGATATTTCCATGGATACAAAGTGACCTGATGATTCTGCTCAGCAGCTGGATACTGAGGTGTGAAAACTGTGCCTCAAGGTTAATTCCTCAAATGATTGTTTTAATTGATCGAAAATGCTGTTTGCTTGGCTGATTAATCACAGAATCCACAACAGTATTCTTCCAAAGGACTGGTGCTATATGATCTGTGTGTGTTTTTGTTTGGGGTCTTTTTTTGCTTTAAATAAGAGAATCAACTTAATTGATTAGTTTACTTTATCTACTACTTTCACACCAATTTTTATTACATTTTGCTACAAGATGGACAGCTGAAATATAAAGTAATGTAGATTTTAAAATGTGTTCTTAATGATCCTTTAAAAAGCAACTAATGCTGGATTTGATCACATTAGAAGAAAAAGCTTAGATGCTCTAATTTGGCATCTTTATATATAATTTTCAAGCCCTTTAAAAATATTCTCCCTTTTCACAGTGTTAATATTCACTTGGTACTGGCAGGGGTTTAAATAAGTGTGTGTATGTATATTTATACTTTTAGAGCTGTTTAGAGAATAATTTGCTTTGACAGATGAATTGTTAAGAAGGTTATTGCCTTTCATGTTACTGTTGGAAACCATGTAACATGTCTGCTTTGTCTTGTCTCGTGATTTCCTGTTGTGTAGTGTCTCGTGTTTTTCATGGAGTCCTTTATTGCACTGTCGGTGTTTGTCCTGAAAACTTGAAAGTTTTGATAAAATAGATTTCTAATTTAAATAAAATTGATACGAACTCTTGATTGTTATGTATGTTGGTTTTGTTCAAATGTCTAATTTTGTACTGTCGAGATTTATAGGCTATGTAGAGTTGCAAATGTGTGTGGTATTTTTTATTTATTTGTAGTTTTACACATTTTTATTTTGAGTGACTTGTGAAGAAAATTCCCATTCTTAAAAGTTTATTGGGTTTCTTTTATCATTTCTTTTCTCTGGATTTTAAGTTACCACCAGGCACCACTAGATGGAGCCCTTGTTGCACACTTCTGCTGCATCAGTCAGTTTGAGAGCCTGTCTGGAGACACATAGCAATGCTAATGCTACTGAAAAAACAGCTGTTGCCATGGCACTCTGAAGAGCTAAGATTAAACAATTTCTGAATGCTATTTAGGTTTAATAAATGAGCATGTTGGCTGATACTTAGGCCTCCTGCTGTATTGACATATATGCCTATGGGAACAAGCAGACTCTGATATCTATAGATTTTATTGCTTTTCTGGATTTAACTCTGGCACTTGTTTCCATGGTAGTGTATTATACGACCTATTAATATTGCAGCCTATAGTGTACATTTGACAAACCACAGAAGCAACGTTTTATTTGAAACCTGTGACTTGAACATGTGAAGCAGCCTTGGAATAACCTACAGAATAATCTGTCTAATAACAGTTTTAAGTTTTGTGTTTTGACTCATTCTATGCACCTTCTGTTGCAGCAAAACTCACAGTAAATATAGGATCTATTTCAGAGTGCATTTTCTGGCTGTCCCTCAAATTTTGACAAAATTGTAAGACTTAATTTTATGAAGGCATATGGTTTGTTCTTTGAATTTTCACCTCTGCGCTTTTTCCATCATGTGAGAAGTAGATGACATTGCTAAGTAGTTGAGCTCTAAATATTTAGGTCCAGATGCCATTCAGTGTATGTTGAAATTTGAATAATCTTATTTTGCCTCTCAGAAAATTCTGAAAACGTGATAAAAAAAGAAATGACCCATTTGCCAAAGGCCAGACAGTCATACTACACTTTTGAATCCATTTAGAACTGAGAGGACAGAATACGTTTTTTATTTTCTTATTGTTTGTATCATAAAGTAAAGAAATTAGTTTTCAAGGTTTTCATAAATGTCACCAGGATCAGGTTGGTACTACGTAAACTTACAGAAACTACAGCATGTCTTTAGATGTACATTCTCTGCACAAATGCTTTCATTTCTTTTTAAATTAAAGTTAAATTGAAGTGTAATGTTATTGTTATTTAGTTTATTCCGTTTAAACCTTTGCAATGTAAACAAAGCAGGAAGTTCTAGAGGTTGTTGATCTCCCTTCTGCTGATGAGTTTTATGAAGGTGCTGCAGATAAAACAAATCTACGAAACTCACTGTTCAAAAGCTGCACTCGCCACGAGACGCTACCAACATCCAAACTGGTTGTTTGAGACGTGCTGCGGGGCCATTTCCAAAGGCCTTTTGCAAGTGTGTCAGTATTTTCAGAACTTTTCAGAGAAGATTGATCATTTCATGAAGCAGAATTGAAATCCAATTAGTATTTGAAGACTTTTTTTATCCATCTTTAACAGTGGCGATGAAATACAATAAAAAAATAAATAAATCCAGAGGCTCTGTATATTTTCTTTTAATCATTTGGTGAAATAAAGAAAGAACAAATATTGAGAAACAAAAGATGTTTGCATGGAGGTAAAGAAGCAAGCCGCAGCATTTTCTTCCTGAAATAGCTCAAGCAATGCTCTGGAGATCACAGATGGACTGTGCAGCAAAAGGAGAGACTAATTCCCACGCTTAGTATCTCAGGTTTTCATTTCTGCTTTCTTACTCCTACCAGCCCTTTCTGCAGTTCCTTCATTCCCAGCTTTTGAATAAGAGGCTGATTTACACCAGGTTTGCCAGGTGAGCATAATTAAGTGCAACTAGCAGAGAGGATGGAGATGCTGCTATTGGAGGGAAGGAGTGCAGGGTCAAAGTGGTCAGATGTGACTTAAATAATCTGGATACAGTCTCTTAGAATGCCCTAAAACTGGAATATAAATCCAAGTTTATGCAATAGTTTGAACACATGCAGGAAAATTATTTGAAAGCAAATTATTTTGAAATAAATCATTTCAGGGAAGATGTAAGCAAGGCGTTTTTGATGCCCAAAAGACAAAACTCTTATTTTCTGACATTTGTCTGGAGCTAGCTCCCTCATATTTAATATTTTACAACGCTGAGCAGCGTCTCTGTTTGCTCCACCGGGCCCCCGCCTCATCATTAAATTAAATTGTTTAGAAATGTTTGCGCATTTTTAAATGGTATGTTTACTTTTTAAGACTGCCTGTGAAAAAAGTTTCTCAAGCTGTATAATATTTAAGCAGCTCTGTTTAATAATTCACAATTCAGACTACATGGAGTAATTCACAACAAACCTGCAAAAACTCCAAAAATTAATATTTTATGTTTTCATTTTGAAGATCTGTGATGAAATATGTCCCGGTCCATTAGGCTTGTTGGAAACAGGTTAACATCTTGATTAATTTTTTACAACTTTACGGGTTTTTTTTAATTAAAATATGAAATTAATTTCAGTTCTGTTCACTTTGAAAAAGCAGGAAGTATTGTAATGCTATTGAAAAACAAATAAATTGATCAAAACACACAAAAAAGCATAAAAAATGGATCAGTCACACATTCTACTGAAGTCTAGTCATTATTTAATATTGGAATTTGTTTTTTCTATAAATTATAATACTGTAATAAAAAAAGTTTTTATTTTTCTACAGTTTCCCCTAAAAATAAAAGAATAGATAATAATAATAATAATAATAATAATAATAATTATAATAATAATAATAATAATAATAAAGGAAATTAATCCTTTCAGATGGAATTTTAAAAAAGTTTAGTTGAAGCAAATTCACTTGGAATTTTCAATGAATCTGCACAACACAGTTTCTTATTTTAAATACATGCAAAACTCAACACAGCAGCAAAAAAAAAGAATATTTATTAAAGATTCAAAATTAATCCTGAAAAGATGGAAGTGAGAGACGAGGCCATCTGACAAATAATGACAGAAAAATTGCAGCGTCAGTCATGGCATGGATTATTATAATTCTCAATATATATACAGGTTTCCAAGCAATATATATGCAGGGATCTGAACAGGTACTTTTCAAGGGAGGACTTGCTTATTTTAGAAAAAGCAATTGCCAGACTTTACTCTGCACGTATCATAACATCAAGACTTTATAGCATAAAGGTCCGCCATGTGTTCAAAATAAACAAAATGTGTCTAAGTGAGCAATTTCAATACCTGAAATTGGTTTTTCAGTTATTTATTCACTCTTCTTGCTCAAACAAGATAATAAACATGACATTTTATGATTGATGAGTTTCTCTGCATAAATGAGCACGTAATGGTATTGTCCAACCTCATCATGACTCAGAAATGTTGGGCTCCGATATTTTGACCTCTGTAAATATTGAAACTGCAGGTTAATTCTGCAAGACCCCTCAGGTCACCAGAAGCAGGTGCTCATAAATAAGAAGACATTAAATGTGCGTGAGGTTATTAATTATGAGCCTCATTTGCTTGTTTTTATTTATTTTTCTGACAAGCAGCTTCTATATTTTCACCTTTCCAGTCATTTCTTCCTCCCTCACCTTTTGACTCCCAACATTTTCCCTCATTTTGTCCCCATGATAGCTTTCAAATATATATATATATATATTTTTCTTTTACCTTGTCACATGAGGTTATTCTTCGTAATATTTTTTATTAATATGTTCTGATCAGAAAGGAGAATTTATTTCAATACCAATACTTCAGTCATATATATTCTAAGTCTCAGAAAGACATGCAAATCGGTTCCCATCTCCTGACATTGTTAAAACTTTCAGGACATTTCTCTAGCAGCTTAAGATCTGTTGTCACTCACTTCTCAATCTGGACAGTCTGTGTTTGAGTTATAGGCTGCAGCGATGGACACAATAATTGCAGGTAGGTAGGTCTTAATATGAGCCAGAGACCAGCCCCACGGGGCCCCGTCCCCAGGTCATGTGTCATTACCTCAGACTGAATTGGTAGCAGACTGCAGGAAGGCCAAGCAGCAGGGACAGTGATACTGTTTTCATGGCTGATTGGAGAGCGCTGGCGGCCATCGCCTGTCCTCTTTGCCTTTTTCCAAAGGAATGTATTCTCCATCCAGGCGGTGTTTGGCAGGCAGCAGATTCCTCCCACTCCTTTCACAGCTTTGCCAGATGCATACCAAAAACATATAAACTGCATGTTTTTCCCATTGTACATCAGAAATTCTTTGCAGATGCATAACTGCAGTCTGATTCCACTCCAGTTCACTCGACTGTACATCTTGAAAACTAATATGAAAACAAACTTTTCAGCATCGCAAAAACCCCATGGTAAGGCTTGCAGTCTGCATGTGCTTGTTCATTCTTCCCACTCATGGCGACAATCCTGTTTTAAATTTAGAGCGTGAGTCACGGGTGATAGGCATGAAAGATCTGGAGTGAAAGCTAAATTACCGCCACAGAACCTGAGCACAGAAGTGCTGATGGTGCTGGAAGTACTGCAGAACACAAAAGTAGAGAGCTGTCAAGCTGTAAAATTACACAGCAGGCTGGGTGAAGAGATGATTATGGGCAATTATGCATCCGAGAATGCCCTCTGAGGAGAGACCTTTCGCGTTTAAGGGGTTAGCCGGGTTGGACGTACGAACGGCAATCTGTCTTAGCATCTTCTGTGTGCTTCCTTGTCGGTGGCGATGATGAAAGATGTTCTATTTGGAGAAGGCTTGATAACATGGAGCTGCTTCAAGCCAAGAGGCAGCAGAACTATTTTATTATTCTGATAGCCTTCTGAATTTCCTTGCATGTATGCATTAATGCAAACATGTACATATGTTTGCATATTCCCTTATATTAGCTTGGAGGTCATGTGCAGTTTTTCACACACTTTATAGATGTAGATGTGAAACGTTTTGTTCCTCTGAAAGGCCTCGTTTTAATTTTGGAGTAATTTTGGCATTTATAAGGGTTCGTAAAGAGAGTTTCAAGTATTTGTGGATTTTAGCTATTTGTAGACTCTTAACTGAGAAGAACACTGTGTGTACATGTTCATTAGGACCACATCCTGTTGTAACTCTCTCAACCCCCTTTGACTGAAAAAGTGAGCCCTCAGAATGAAGTTGCCAATGAATTGCTTGACAGTAGAAATGTGTTTTTTAAGTACGGCATCCATTGCA